CGGGCGGTAATGTAAACACAAGACGTTTAACCTCCTTGGATACTAAACGAACACTGATGCATCTATTCTTGTTTACAAATTCCGCCCAGAGAGAACTGGTTTCAATATGTACGCAGAGTATGTGCAGCTGCAATTAACTTTCCTTGCATCACAACCTTGAAGATTGTAAACCAAGCACGGAATTCCATGCAGGATAAACTAGTTTCAGAACTGTAATTGTACATAAATGTACATCACAGTACAGCACAATGTAAACATTCCAATTTTCTTCTCCTTAACGTACTATGAAGAGCGGGGGAAGCCAGGCGGCCATGAGCCACCACTACATCCGTTTCCGTGCAACCTATTAGCTTTTTTCTCTTCCGGCAGCCATGAGCCACCCCTATTTCCCCTTCCGGGCCACCACATTTGACTCTTTCGGGCAAAACTACTTTTTTAAATGGAACGTGTAGCCTTTAAAGTGTGATTTTCAAAAATTCAGCCGTGTCATGCAAAAAGTGTATATTTAAATCTTTATATTTAAGTGTTAACATGAAAAAAGGATGATTCCTCTTATTGTAAAAAGCTAATATGTGGCAAGGAAGAGGAAATAGTGGTGGCTCATGGCCGCATGCCTTCCCCCGCTCCTATTACTCCTTGAAAAACACATATTTAATAATTTCCCATATTTATCATTTAGCTCGTACAGGATAGAACTTTTAGAAAGGTTAGGAAGTGGTTGAAACAAATCTGTCTTATTTTTATAACTCAATATAATTAAGCATTTACACAAATATTGCACAAAAAATCTAAGTACATGTTGACACTTTTAGGACGGTAACGAAATTAATCGTTGTTTGCCCAGTTGTGCTTCCCACAAAGGATGAGACTGTGAATACGACCTTAAGATATTTAAAGATTTAAGTTTAAATTAAGTGTTCTCTGCATGAATTCTTTAATTGCCTTACTTAATGTTTTGGCAAAGAAGAAGCGTATACATTATAGTTACAGTGAATCCACCACGGACTAACCGGGCGAGATTCAGTCGGTTTCTTTCTTTACTTCAATAATCTTTAATCTTTAATCTTTTCTATACTTTTTCATTGGACAAGTATATGCCGACAAAAAAGAATAAAAAAGAAAAGGCGAAAAAATTATCTTACATTGGTCAAATTGTGACCAAAAATCAAAACTTGCTGGGAAAATGACCGAAGTTTTAAATCAGCGTTAATCACATAGATAAAGATAGATTGCGCATAAGACGACATTTTTCATCTTGAAAGATATAAATGTACAAAGATATTTGTATTCCTATTATATAGATTAACTAGGTCGGTTGTAAACATTGGCTGTTTTTATGTCATTAAGTACTTTTGGTGTACATGCGTTCTGTAAAAAGAAATTTAAGATAGTTTAGTCCTTCTCATGTCCTTCTTCAGTTCTCGTCAATATGATATATTGCTCAGTGAAATAATTTGATATTTTCAAAATAAAATTCACTCCTGAGTGATTTAATAATTATAACATCCATTAAAACACCAAACCACCCCGCTTATCATTGGAGTACACTTTGACCCCTAGAAGTATGAGTTCGCGGACTGTACAATTCTTGGTGATTTTGCGTACATAAGCTATCTATGTTTATTTATTTATCTATGGTTAATCATGTAAAGACGTCTCTCAAGTTTTATCCTTTGTGGTTAACCCTGTACAAACCAGATCCAATTACTAGATACATAAAAGATACTAACCAACCAGACGTTAATCCTTTAAGCTGAGTAAAGCCTTTCAAAAACCCGGTTCTATATTCAGAGTCTTACTAAATATGAAAATGAAGCTAGACTATTAAAAATAAGAAATGGGGGGGAAGGCTTGTTTTTTTAATTGTATCCTGTATGAGAAAATGCTGGTGCAAACAAATATAAACCGGTTTCAAGTTTTTACTATAGATGTACAGTGCATTGCAGTACAGTACAGTACAGTACAGTACTGTACAGTAAAGTACAGTACAGTACTGTACAGTAAAGTACAGTACAGTAAAGTACAGTAAAGTACAGTACAGTACAGTACATTACATTACAGTACAGTACAGTAAAGTACAGTACAGTACAGTACAGTAAAGTACAGTACAGTACAGTACAGTACAGTACAGTACAGTACAGTACAGTATAGTACAGTAAAGTACAGTACAGTATAGTACAGTACAGTAAAGTACAGTACAGTACATTACAGTACAGTAAAATACCGTACAGTACATTACAGTACGGTACAGTACAATACAGAACAGTGCATATCAGTACAATGTGACTTTACAGCATGTAAATTTGTACATATACCATGCAAAACTGATAAGACCGGTAAAAATTATATCAGAAACTGCTTTAAAAATGTAAAACTGTTTTACTTAGTATTGGACAGTTTAAAAGCCAGTTTTATCGTAAACAACAATATGATAGTAAACTCTGTATTTCTGACAAAGACGGAGCCTGGAGGGGCAATTCTGACGATACTGGTTTCCTAAATGTTGTTTGCTTACCATAAACTAGTTATAGAACTCATCGGAACTCCCTACAAACATCTAGTCTACGACATGCTGATTTCGAACATAAAAAGAATCATTTACCCAACATCTTCCCCATCGGGAAATATAGTCGGTTTAAATGTTTCCTGGGCTTTCCTCTTATTTTTAGTTCTAAACCTTTGTGGAAACCTTTACTTTTCTCCTTAGTTCTAGACCTCCTTGGAAACCTTTTCTTTTCTCCTTAGTTCTAAACCTCCTTGGACACCTTTCCTTTTCTCCTTAGTTCTAGACCTCCCTGGAAACCTTTCCTCTTCTCCTTAGTTCTAAACCTCCTTGGAAACCTTTCCTTTTCTCCTTAGTTCTAGACCTCCTTGGAAACCTTTCTCATTCTCCTTAGGTTTATAGCTCCTTGGTAACCTTTCTCATTCTCCTAAGTTTTAGACATCCTTAGTAAATAGTATAGTTTTGGTTCAAAATTTAGATTGCTCAATGCTCATGGAACTTCAAAATTTAACCTTTACCACAGAAAAATGTGTGCAATTTCGACCATTTTCTGAATTGTTAAGAAAAACTTGTATACATCTCCAATTCCATTCCATTCATGATGAAGTGAAGAGTCATGGTTCCATGAGAAACTACGTTAACAGTCCCTTTAATTTTTGTTTTTAATAATTTTCAAAGCAGTTTCCTCTAACAAACAACATGAATTATACTAAATCTAACAATTACAAAAGAGAGAACATACAAAACTTTAAGATATACAATTTGAAGGTACGGTTTAACATATATACATAGAGAATAGAATATATAGAGAGGAATTAAAAGAATCACTCGGTATGAATTTTTTCAGTCCCTTTCAGCCTGAAAGGGAGTTCAAAGTGTACAAATCATGTAAATGCTCACAAATTATGTGCAGTAGAGTACATTAATACAGTATGTTTCCTAGACTATCCATTTCAATTTCGAATTTTTTAAACTGTTTATTAAACTTTATAATGAATTAGGTGAATAAAAGCATCATTTGATTTATAGTTGTAACGGAAAATCATCGTTTGTAAAGTGGAAGGCAAAGAGTCTATGTGAAATGATCATTGGTCAATTATGAAACCAGCCTATTTCATAATTTGGTTTTCTTTTAATAATAATTTGAGATTTTCTATAAAATAATATTCCAGGGCCCAACAGGTTATATAGCATAAATATGTGAAGTACACCTGCAGTATGGAAACAGTACAACAAAATGGCCGTTTTACACTTTTTTCTAGTAAATTCCTCTCTATATATTCTATTCTCTATGCATATATATAGTTTAAGTAACAGGTTTTTACTCCCTTAGTAATAATGATTTACTACAAATAAGACACTGAAAAATTGATTATACTTCATCATTATCAAAATAGTTTCAAAGTGTTGATATTTGTTAAGAAATTTACAGTAACCCTCATATCTTTGGGTGCAAACTAAAAGTACTGCATATACTGGGTGGAATGTAAACAAACTATGGAGGAGGGATCGATCCGGTCCGGTCCGGCCGGGATTCACTAATCATACAGCTGTGTATTTCGAGTTAATCAATTTATCAATGTGTATACATTAGGGTTATTGTATGTGTTGTGCACATTATTGTCTCAACTCTCCACAGTGGGTCTAGTGGTTCTAGAGAAGAAGCGTAGCTAGAACTTAGTCCGGGCAATTATGGAATTACAAATATTTTCTTTCTTTAAGCACATTGTGCATTTTAACATGAATGTTGCGGCATTAGGTGATTTCAAACGATAATTTTAGGAAACTAAATACAGAGAATTTGAGAGATTAGTATTAGGAAACTAAATACAGAGAATTTGAGAGATTAGTATTAGGAAACTAGATACAGAGAATTTGTGAGATTGGTATTAGAAAACTAAATGCAGAGAATTTGAGAGATTAGTATTAGGAATCTAAATACAGAGAATTTGAGAGATTGGTATTAAGAAACTAAATACAGAGAATTTGAGAGATTGGTATTAGGAAACGAAATACAGAGAATTTGAGAGATTAGTATTAGAAACTAAATACAGAGAATTTGTAAGATTAGTATTATAAACTAACAGACGCCTGACACGCGTTAACCCAGCATTCTGTAAATCGGATCCATGGGGTGCTACTCAGACTGGGGTTGTATATGTTTCTCCCAGAAACTGCAGTATACTTTGCTTGTAAACAAAGATAAGAAGGTTTTATGTATATTCTTTAAAATATGTGGTCCCCCTATTTTAATGTTAAAAACCTCCATATTTTTAAAATATAATTAACAATATGATACGGATTAGGATCACAACATCTAAGGGTCGTTTAGTGAGTAATGTACATGAAAAGTACTTACAAAGGGCACAAGGAATAGATTTATAATCTAATCTTTAACTTCTGTTGAAGAATATTAAAGAAAACCCTAGAGGGCTTTTTAATAATGTTTCAATACTTTTTAATTTAAACTGCGCCGTTGTTTAAAAGAATTTTTCTCCGAAAAATTTCTTAAAAATACTTGATATTTTAACTTAAAATGCATTTTCAATTATTTTTTAATTGTAAAAGAAAATGAGAAGCAGTTTCATCTTTAATTTGTAAGTTTAATACTAGTACCCAGATTAAATGTGAAAAAGTAACATATCAAAAGACTTTTGGTTTGACTAGATGTAATATTTAAACCTTACACAGGTACCAGGACTAGTGGTACATGTACAGTACTGTCAGTTCAGTACAGTACACTATATTTATTTATGTACAGCATGTACAGTATATACAGGTTAGAGCCAGAATAGAGAAGAAGGTATTTAAAGAAATATTCTTTTGGTAGATTATTGGCCGTGGTTAATTTGGTAGACCAGAGGTTAAGGTTGATTTTTCAGAGGCTAAGACTAATCTGGTGGATTATAGACGAGTTTAATGTATAATCTGGTGGATTATAGACTAGGCTGATGTATAAACTGGTGGATTATAGAATAGGTTGATGTATAATCTGGTGGAGTATAGACTAGGCTGATGTATAAATTGGTGGATTAGAGATGAGTTTGATGTATAATCTGGTGGATTACAGACTAGTTTAATGTATAATCTGGTGGATTAGAGATGAGGTTGATGTATAATCTGGTGGATTACAGATGAGGTTGATGTATAATCTTGTGGATTACAGACTAGTTTAATGTATAATCTTGTGGATTACAGACTAGGTTGATGTTTAATCTGGTGGATTAGAGAGTAGGTTGATGTTCAATGTGGATTAAAGCCGAGGTTGATGAGATGATGAAGGGTTGACTAAGGGTGAGGTTGATGTATAACTAACGGAAAGTCTTGTAGTGACTCTGGGTTCTATCTGAAGTGATCTCTGATACAGCTCATCATCTCCAAACCTGGAACCAAACAGGGATTATATTTACAATAAAAATTACATTCAAGTTTTTTTTTGACAAAGCCCTTGGTTTTTATTGATTCAAAACCTAAAAGAAGCGTCTAGAATGTAGTAAACTACCAATTGAGAGAAGCGTCTAAAAGGTATCCAGAAATAAACTACCTTAAGAGAAGCGTCTAGAAGGTATCCAGAAATAAACTACCCTGAGAGAAGCGTCTAGAAAGTATCCATAAATAAACTACCTTAAGAGAAGCGTCAAGAAGGTATCCAGAAATAAATTACCTTAACAGAAGCGTCTAGAAGGTATCCAGAAATAAACTACCTTAAGAGAAGCGTCAAGAAGGTATCAAATAGTAAACTACCTTGAGAGAAGCGTATAGAAGGTATCGAGCAGTAAACTACCTTAAGAGAAGTGTCTAGAAGGTATCAAATAGTAAACTACCTTGAGAGAAGCGTCTATAAGGTATCCAGCAGTAACTAAAACAAGAAAAGCGTCTAAAAGGTTTCCAGTAGTAAACTAACCTAAGAGAAGCGTCTTGAAGGGATCCAGTAGTAAATTAACCTAAGATAAGCGTCTAGAAGGTATACAGTGTAAACTAACCTGAGAGAAGTGTCTAGAAGGTATACAGTGTAAACTAACCTAAGAGAAGTGTCTAGAAGGTATACAGTGTAAACTAACCTGAGAGAAGCGTCTAGAATTTATAAAGTGTAAACTAACCTATGAGAAGAGTCTAGAAGGTATACTGTGTAAACTAACCTAAGAGAAGCGTCTAGAAGGTATCCAGTAGTAAATTAACCTAAGAGAAGAGTCTAGAAGGTATACAGTGTAAACTAACCTAAGAGAAGTGTCTAGAAGGTATACAGTGTAAACTAACCTGAGAGAAGTGTCTAGAAGGTATCCAGTAATAAACTAACCTAAGAGAAGCGTCTAGAAGGTATACAGTGTAAACTAACCTAAGAGAAGCGTCTAGAAGGTATCCAGTAATAGACTAACCTAAGGGAAGCGTCTAGAAGGTATACAGTGTAAACTAACCTAAGAGAAGCGTCTAAAAGGTATCCTGCAGCTTTAGGTATAGGATCTATCTTGTATGGAGTTTGTTGGAAGTTTCTTACTTCGCGAATAACATGAGCAATCTAGAAATATGTAAATCATACCTGCAATTCTTGAAATTCAAGGTTTTTAAGATTTCACGACAAACAAGTGGAGATTAAAATTATATGTTCAACTTTTTCAGTTTAAATATATATTTTAGATGATATATTTTAGATGTTTAAATATATATTTTAGATGTTTAAATATATATTATAGATGTTTGAATATATATTTTAGATGTTTAAATATATATTTTAGATGTGCAAATATATATTTTAGATGTTTAAATATATATTTTAGATGATTAAATATATATTTTAGAAGTTTAAATATATATTTTAGATGTTCAAATATATATTTTAGATGTTCAAATATATATTTTAGATGTTCAAATATATATTTTAGATGTTTAAATATATATTTTCCAAGACACAATGTTTTATGGTTCTGACCAAATCTTCAGCTTGAACTAAACTCATAAATGAAGCAATTCTTTAAATAATTTCATGGAATTCTTTAATCAAAATTGTTATACATTCAAAAAAAAGTTGTTTTGAAGATAAATATTTAAACATCTAAAATGTATATTTAAAGGAACTGTAAGGGTAAAATAGAAGGTGGTATAGGCTAAAGCCTAAACATTTAATGAGTTAATTGCGACCAATATTTGTTCTATCCGATGATTTCCCTCTCTCAAGAAATTGTGATACAGACACAGACACAGATACTGCACTGCCATTGGTGGAAATTTTTGTCATGTGATACAGACAGAGCCACGTGGCCAGATACTGCACTACCATTGGTGAAAATTCTGGTCACATGATACCAGGGGCGTACGAGGGCTTTTGCTTAGGGGGGGGCACGCGCGCAAAAAAAATTTTTTGGTCCCCCCCCTTGGCAACATTGGTCCCCCCCTTAAAAACCCCTTTTTTGAAAAGATATTAATACCTTTTTTAAATTTTTTTTGCCCCCCCTCTCCCACCTGGACTTATTTTGTTCACCATAAAAATACACCAAAAAGACTACTTTTTTGGGTGTTACTAACATTAGAGTCTAAAAATTATTCCTTTGCTTGAAAAACTAACTTTTTGACTTTATAAATTTATCACTTAACTCCATCACAGCTAACTAAATCAATAATCACAGCATCATTAAAAATCATATTTTTACGAATAAACGAAATTTCTTCTGAAATTTTTAGATAGAATTTACTCAATCTACATTTTATCCAAATCTTTTAGCTACAATTTTCTGGGATTTGCTTGCACAAACATTTCAATGATTTTTTTCAGTAGAGAGCTCAGACTTATAGGGTGTAAAGCTATAAGTGCAAGATCGTTAAGTCTGCTCTCCGTCATAGTACATCTTGTGTAAAGAAGTATTCTCTTTAGAAGGCTAAAACTTTTCTCTCCTTGTATTAACAGTGAATTTAGACAAATTCTTAGTCTTTGTCATTGTCAGGTGTTACTTTCTAAACGTATTTTTCTTTTAATTTTGTATTTTTGGAACTCCCAGGGGGGGCAAGAGAACAACTGCCCCCCCTAGGTACACCACTGTGCCTGACCTGAGGAAGGGAAATGCAAGCAGATGTAATATTAAAAGAGCCTCCCATATGGATGCCCCCCCTCAGCCTCTCAGGGGGGGCACGCGTAGAGGGGGGCGGGGGGCGCGGCCCCCCCCCTCGTACGCCCCTGCATGATACAGATGTAACAATTATATTATTTTATCGATTAAAAATGAATAAGTATTATATTCAAATATGATAAGAGCGTACCTAAACTCCTTAGGCAACTCTGGGATATCCTAATTTTCAGATTTGTTCCGTATTTGCTGAATATGATCTGTTTAAAGTTTTGATCATATCATGTATATATTAGTTTTGGTATAATTTAACACAAATAAATATAAACTAACTCCTAAAATGTTCAGGCTTCAGCATGTGCACCTTTAATTTTACCTTAACAGTCGCTTTGAACTGAACAAAATTTGCAAATATTAAATATAAATGATATCTGTATATCTAAATAAAGTATTAATCTCAGTATGTTTGTTTTTTGTCTATTTGAATCCGATTTTGACTCAAAAACCCATTGACAAGGTTGTCTAAAATTTTGATTGGAAAATTCAGTAGGTTCTGCATGCATGTTTTTAGCTTAATATACAAAAGGACTCAAAAGTAAGCGGGTTTACTCTTATAGGAAAAGCTTAGTTTTCAGGCAAAGCTGAGTCAAAGCTAGTATACATTTATAATATACTAGCTGAAAGGCCCGGCGTTATCCCTGGAGAAAAAAAATGTTGAAAAAAAATTTAAAAAAAATTAATTTAAAAGAAAAATATCGAATTTTGTTCAGCCTATATCACCCCCAAGCTCTCCATGAGAGCCTACAAAAAATTTCAGCCCATTCAGTCTAGCCGTTTGGGCGGCCAGAGGGAACCTATATACGAATGTCTTGTTTTATTAAAAGAAAAACATAAAAGTTTCTGCTCATTAGTGAGGCAAAGCTCTTCTACTAAATAGAAGAAAAAGAATTAGTAATTTATGATTAATGAGTTAGAGCCGGGTTCTTTCTCAGTTTCATTTTCATTTTTCCAAATATTTGGAAAATAATTCTTTTTATTGTCTACTTATACTATTATACTAGTCTACTAGTCTATACTAGTATACTAATCTACTACTCTACTAGTCTACTAGTCTATACTAGTCTACTGATCAACTAGTCTGAAAGTCTACTGATCTAAAAGTCTACTGATCTAAAAGTCTACTAGTCAATACTAGTCTACAAGTCTACTGTCTATTAGTCTATTAGTCTACGAGTCTGCTGATCTACTAGTCTACTAGTCTACTAAACTACTGATCTACTATAGTCTACTAGTCTAAGAGTCTACTGATCTACTAGTATAGTAGTCTATGAGTCTACTGATCTACTAGTATAGTAGTCTATGTGTCTACTTATCTACTAGCCTACTAGTATAATAGTATACGAGTCTACTGATCTACTAATCTACTAGACTACTAGTCTACTAGACTACTAGTCTACTAGACTACTAGTCTACTAGACTACTAGTCTACTAGACTACTAGTCTACTAGACTACTAGTCTACTAGACTTCTAGTCTATGAGTCTACTGATCTACTAGTCTACTCACCATTCTCATCTTAGCAAAGTTAAGAAGACCGTTTTCAGTAAAGTTTGGTGTTCCTTCATCAATAAATGTAAGATCTGATAGATAGATACCCAGGTATGGGATACAGGGTGGGTCACATCTAAAATAAATATACAGAGACGACTGTACATAATTCATTCTATATATCTAAGAAAATGTCCAATAATCATGAATTCGAATACTCAATAAATGCAGACACCGAGAAAAGTTCCAAAAATCACTCTTGTAGAATCAAATTAATTGTGAATTATCTATCCATTAGTCTTAATTATAATATGATTTTATTGTATTCTTTATTCTTTCCTAATCTGCTTTGCATTATCGTATTAATACAAAAATATGTTTTCATGCAATTTAAAATCACTGAACATTCTTTTGGAAAGTTTACTCAAGGATAAAATTGTAATAATTGCAAGAAACATTATGTAGGCAATGTACACAAAATTGAAGAACAAAAAAGAAGTTATTTTGAGTGATTTTGTTAAGATACAGTTTTAAAAAGTACAATTGTGAATTAGGAACAAACTTTTTAATAGAGGGTTACTTGAAATTCCTCAACAGCCCCTTTATATAAAGATTTTAAATATTAACCTATGAAGAGCGTCTCTCAGATTTCTATGTCTCCCATCACTAGAAACCATATTCTGCAGTTTATCTATTGTTCCCTTCGTCTAAACATTAATAATATAAATATATAGAATAGTATGAACATTACTAGAAACCATATTCTGCAGTTTATCTATTGTTCCCTTCGTCTAAACATTAATAATATGAATATATAGAATAGTATAAACATTACTAGAAACCATATTCTGCAGTTTATCTATTGTTCCCTTCGTCTAAACATTAATAATATAAATATGTAGAATAGTATAAACATTACTAGAAACCATATTCTGCAGTTTATCTATTGTTTCCTTCGTCTAAACATTAATAATATAAATATGTTGAATAGTATTTACTATTTATAACACTATTATTTTGGTTTACAGTGTTATAAAGTTTTTGGACAGTCATTTTCTCTTTATCGATTAGATTAAATTTTGTCCCAAGCTTTAGCGAGGGACAAAATATAATCTAAAAAGGCGAGATATAGAGAAAATTTAAGTGCTAAAACTTTATAGCACGTTGTGCCAAAATAATACTGTTATAGGTAATTTTATGAAACGTTTGTATATTTGTCTTATTTCAATGGCTATTCCTAGATCAAATAAGCTTTGAAACAAGGCAGAAGTAAAATATAAAGTTAATTTCAATTTTATTTTCATTAATTGAAAAAACATTTTGTAAATATCCTAAATTTGTTGGAGAAAATCCGGGAACCAAATTAAAACTTTATAGCACACATGCTATAATGTACAGCTAATTAAACATTAATTAAACAATGATTACTTTATAGTACGGTGCTATAATATACAGCTAACTTAACTTTATAGCACTATGATTACTTTATAGCATGTTCATTATGAAATTCACAATCAAATGAGTAAGAATGATAAAGTACACAATAGTTTTATAAAAAATATTATAGACTAGAATTAAATATACAACATATCAGAGTATAGAAAAATATAGAATAGAGATTAGAGAATAGTATAAAATAGAATAGAATATAATAAATTACAGTAAAATAGAATGGGATGAAATAGAAAAAATTTGAATAAAACAGAATAATATAAAACAGGATAGAATTATAAAATGACCAAAATATCATAATAGGGTAGAATAGTAAATGATAGAAGAAATTAAAGAAAGAAATAATTTGGTATAAAATATAATGAAATGAGATGTGAAATTTGAAAATTATGAATTGAACCAAATAGCAAAAAAAGCAAGAAAAAAGGGATAAAAATGCTTTTATTTTCAATAGTTTATTTTTATGATTTTGAGTTAATTTTTGTTTTCTTGTCTCTCACCGTTTTAGATAATCTTTCCCAAGTTTTCTTTAAACGAAATACAGAGGCGTTAGTGAAGGCAGCGCAAACCTAGAAAATTAAAAATATGTAAAATTATCTTTGAATAAAATGTTTCATTCATTATCAATTTATTGAAATAAGATGCAGTGAAATCTAGTTTAAGAAAACTGATAAATGGCACCTAAGTTTAGATTTTGAATATTAAAAATTTTGCTGGGTCAAACAGCAAAAGTTTTAAGCATCAAATGTTTACATTATTAGGAAGGAAAATTAAAAAATAAGAGATTGAGGCAGTATTTTTAATGCAAAAACTTTTGAATTGGTATTTTTTTTAATTGAAATTTTTTTAATCGTGCATTATTTCGCTTCCACAACCCACCTCAATTGCTTGAATATTTTTTGTTCTTAAATGACTTTATTGTCCCAGCTGATCACTTTATTATCCCAGCTGATCACTTTATTGTCCCAACTGACCATTATTTTGTCCAGGCTGGATTTGATTTTGTGTAGAAATATTGAATACATATTAATGCGGCCACATGGTTTATACTTTAAAGATAAGCCAAGGATTGATTTTGACAGTTGAGATTGAGTTGGGATTTTAAACTCATCTCAAGATCCCGCCTAAATACTTAACCAGGTACAATGGTACATAAATATTTGTTTAGTCAATAGTTCACCTGTAGTACTCCATTAAAATTATGTAAACATCTACATATATCAGCCACAGCGGTCCATTTCTCTAAATATTAAAATTATGTAAACATCTAATATATCAGCTATAGCAGTCCACTACTCTAAATATTAAAATTATGTAAACATCTACATATATCAGCTATAGCAGTCAACTCCTCTAAATATTAAAATTATGTTAACATCTACATATATCAGCTATAGCGGTCCACTTCTCTAAATATTAAAATTATGTAAACATCTAATATATCAGCTATAGCGGTCCACTACTCTAAATATTAAAATTATGTAAACATCTAATATATCAGCTTTATCAGTCCACTTCTCTAAATATTAAAATTATGTAAACATCTACATATATCAGCTATAGCGGTCCACTACTCTAAATGTTAAAATTTTAAGTCTTTAAAGAGATTTGAATACCATACAAGTTTGCAATATTTTTATTCTGACTAAAGAAATTACCAAAAAAACGTTTTTTTTGTTTCTAAATGATGAATGCTCTTTATATAATGACTTACAACATTTTTGGCCTATTTAACTATTTAACATCTTAAACCTATCATAAAAATGGAAAAATAACAAATGTAGAAGAATACATAATTTCTAATGTAAAAATATTATTAATGAAAGTGATGATTTTTTAAAGAATTTCAGATTTACAAAAGTGTTTTATTTTTGTGCCCAGGTGGCTTAGATAAAAAATTTGGTTGAAAAAGCGAGCTATGGATTGTACCAACTGATTTCAAAAAGAAAATTTAATTTTTTTTTGTGGTCTGGGCTGGGTTTGTACGGAGGTACCCTGTAGATTTTTTGTTTTTAATTTTATTTTTATTTTTAGATTGCTCTGACTCCAATAGTAATGATTGCTAATCCAAACATCTGATGTTTATAAAAAAAAGTTTCAAAAATCTTTTAATATTTTCATACTTTATGAACGAATAAAAATGAGATGTGAAAAATTGAAAATTTGAAAAATCCTGGAAAATAGATTTTCGACTTACGCCCAAATAATTGGTTGTAACAAAAAAAGCATGAGGCCTGGAAGGAAAAATTAACATCATGAAATAACTGAAATATAGAGCTTTCTAATGACACCTTGCCCAGTTTTTTGAGACAACCTGTAGTGTTTATATATATAGGTACTAGATACATTTACCCTATTAATCTGCGGAACCTGGACCTGGAGGAAATTGAATATAATATATCTCCCGTTAAGACAGATAATATTCTTCAGTGTAATATTATCCTACTATTCTTTTTAAAGTTTTCACAGTTTTTTTTACATATAATACATTTTTTTACATTTTTAAAGTTTGTACAGCATTTACGTAAAACAAATTCTTTAGATTTTCAGTCTTTTCTTAACTTTACTTAGAATTTGTCTCTCTTTTTTCTTTGCTCTTGTTAAATCTTTTAATTACATTTTTTCTTCTAAGTATCCATTTCATTGAAGAAAAAACACTCCTAATTTTTTAATTAATGTTACAGGTCACAATTATCTAACTGAAAGGGATTGTAGGCATAATTTCAAGTGATCTACTATTTGTTCTGTGTTTGTTTAACATCACTACTTCAATTCAATACTTCAAACTAGAGTTATGCCTCTAGTCACTTTTTTTAACATTTATTTTTAAATTTAAATTATTTTTTTTTTACATTTATTTTTGAATTAATTTTTTTTTTTTTAACATTTATTTTTAAATTTAAATTATTTTTTTTTTACATTTATTTTTGAATTAATTTTTTTTTTTTTAACATTTATTTTTAAATTTGAATTTTTTAAAAACAAAATCTAAATAGAGCACTGCATTTTTTCTTTGGATATTGAATCTTCTTTTTAGCTGATCATACATTCATATTCTGTTCCTCTCTTGTAGATCAACTCATTCAAATCCCTTGCAAACAAGAGAAAAATGCATTTTGACACATATTTTTCTGCTTTTCTTTCTTCTTTATATTACGCATTTTGCACAGTGCTGCAGTTCTCTGTTTTTGCAATTTTCTTTTTTATACTATTCTTCAATTTGAAAATTTAAAATCAAGTATAATAAAAAGTTTAAATTTGTGTTCCTCCAGGGTCCAGTAACTTTTAAGAAAAAGATTTCTTCATGCAGCAATCATTCAGTACAGTACAATTTTAGATTGAATCATATGGTTCAGTTTACTCTACTAATAAAAATAGAGTATCTAAGTATTCATTCAGTCCACCCTACTGGTAAAAAAGACCATTTCACAAATTAGTATCCTAATGGTTTAACATTACTATGATCTGTCCAGTCCCCCTTATTGGTTAAAAAGACTATTTAAGTTGACCTATTCAGTCCACCTTCTTTTTAAGAAAAACTGTTTTCAAATTTGTTCTACCAGGGGGGCTAGTCATTTAATATGTATCTATTATGTTACCCTGCAAGCTAAATATTCAACATTTCCTTATTCGGTTCTCCCTTCAAGCTAGAGATTGAATATTTACTATTCGGTCCACCTTACTAAATATTCAACATTTACCTATTCGGTTCTACCTTCAAGCTAGTGATTGTATATTTACTATTCGATCCACCTTACTAAATATTCCATATTTACCTATTCGGTCCACCCTACTAGTTAAGCATGGACTACTGATGATTTCTGAAACGATGAGACGACACATCTAAAACAAATTAAAATCAAAATTAAATACAATAAAGTCAAAGGGAGTGTTAAAAAATAGAAGAGATTCAAAATTAACCATATGAGTAATAAAAAAAACAGGAATTTCTATGACGTAGCTCAAGCTTGCCCAGATAGAACTTTTTTTGCAAAAAAAATCCTTTCATGGCATTGAGTTGTTTTTAATTGCTGTAACTAAATCATTCTTTCTAATATAACCTTAAAGGGAAGTTTTGATTAGAAACCTTGTTTTGTAATATCTTTAAATTTATTTATAAAAGTGTGTAGTCTTGTTAAAGTGCATTAAACAACTCTGTAGAAGTATACACTTTCACCCCTGTAAAATTTTACATTATACACCCCTGTAAAATTGTACACTATACACCCCTGCAAAAGTGTAATCTATACACTTCTGTAAAAGTGATACACCCCCTCAGGGGCGGACACAGGATTTAAGTGAGGGGGGGGGGCAAGATTTTTTAGGAACAAAAAAATTAATAATTAGGAACAAAAAATCGTGCCGCAGGGGAAATTTTTTTTTGACTTAAAAGACTCAAAAAGAGTCAAAATTAATGACTAAAGACTAAAAAACTAGATTTTTAACTTTAAGGAACAAAATTAACGGATTAGAACAGGAATTTAGGAACAATTAAAAGATTGTTCAGGAATTAGGAGCAAAATTAAATGATTCGGACAGGGATTTAGGAACAATTAAAAGATTGTTCAGGAATTAGGAACAAAATTAATTGATTCGGACAGGGATTTAGGAACAATTAAAAGATTGTTCAGGAATTAGGAACAAAATTAATGGATTCGGACAGGGATTTAGGAACAATAAAAAGATTGTTCAGGAATTAGGAACAAAAATATTGGATTAGGACAGGGATTTAAGTTGGGTCGGACACTGTATTAGGAACAGGAACAATAATAGGAACATTAGCAATTTAAAAACAAAAAGAAATTACTAGTTATACTTAAATGCATCAAAATTAGGACCAATATTACAATTTTAATAAATGAGTATTGATTAAGGAACATTACTAGATATGAACAATATTATAACTTAAGTCTAGTTTCTTACAAAATTCTAATTCTAAAGGAAGTGAGTTTTTGTCACAAAGTCAAATGTTCTAATCCTTATCTTCGCAACTTATTGGTGGTGTAAACCTTTTATATTTCAAACGTAGACTACCTTATCTAACATAATTTATAGTTTGAAATATCAAAGGTCTACGATACTTGGTTGCAAAGATATAGGAATTAGAAAATTTGAGTTTGTGACAGAAACTCACTTCCTTTATCGTTAACAATAACATTTACTTGTTGCCGTTGATTTTTAAATTAAACTGAAGAAAAGAAAGTCAAGATTTCAATTAAATAAAAAAAGCTTGAAATTTTAAAAACACATTCGATTTATAAAATTGGGAACATTTTTTGCCTCGAATCTGTCAGGGGGTGGCGAATGTCCCCCCGCCACCCCCCTGTATCCGCCCCTGCACCCCCTGTGAAAAGGGTACACTATACACCCTGGTAGGCTGGTAAAAGTACAGTACAAACCCCTGCAAGTGTAAACACGGTAAACCCATAAGAAAATTTTACACTATACACCCCTGCAAAAGTGTACACTATACACCACTAAAAGAAAGTTAATTAACACTCCTGTATACGTGAAACACCCCTATGAAAAGGGTACACTGTAATAGTGTACCCTTTACACTCCAATAAAAGTCATCGAATAATAATAAAATAAGTTACTTTTGACCAATACAGTATTCACTGCTATAAAAGTCTTCACTATCTAGCTATATACACCCGTGTAAAAGTGTACACTGTACACCCCTGTAAAAGTATATACTATACACCCCTGTAAACACTATACACCCCTGTAAATGTATATAATATACACCCGTGTAAAAGTGTACACTGTACACCCCTGTAAATGTATATAATATACACCCCTGTAAAAGTATACACTATACACCCCTGTAGATGTGTACACCATACACCTCTGTAAAAGTGTAAACTTACACTATACATCCCTGTAAAACTGTACAGTGTACACCTCTTTAATGTGTACAGTGCACACCTTTTTAATGTGTACAGTGCACACCCCTTTAAAGTGTACAGTTCACTCTATACACCCCTGTAAAGGTGTACAGTACAAGTTCATTAACTGAAAAGAAATATTTACAGCATGAGTCGAAAGGAATGCGTTTGTTCAGTCTTAAGAATTTAAAAATTTAAGCCTGAATTCCGGAACTTTGAATAATAGGCTCATAGAATAATTAACAATACAGATAGAAAACTTTATGTCGTCTTTTCAAGATTTAGGGGTTTTTCTTTCACGATAACTTTGAGGCAGACTCCCAAAGATGTTAAATGTATGCTGAGACACTCTCTCTCTGTCTTGTAATTCAACGCTACCTGCGAAGAACTCAATTGGGCTATTGTGAACAAAAAACTCTTTAGTCTTACAAAGACGACATCTAGTTTTCTATTTGTATTGTTAATTAATCTATGAATAGACTAAATTCATAGGTAATGATATTATACAGTGTGTCCTGAAAAAAAATAAAAATTTTGAATAGATTTTATCATTTTTTGGAATAAAGTGATTTAAAAAAAAATTGTGATTTATCTTACAAATGAAAAAAGAGACAATTTTAATCTTTTTTAAAATCTACAAATTTTTTGAATTTTCAAGGCTGTAGGATAAGGGGGAAAGAAACACGTGGAGTTTTTACAAACGAATTCAGCTAAAATTGAAAACTTTCAAAAGTACATTTTTTGAAGGATATCAAAGAACTATTCTCACTTGACATAAAAACATTAGGTTTTGGTGTGCAAAGTTTACTGCTTTTAATACAATTTCTTTTTTTGGGACTACAAAACAATGTTTAAATAAGGCGGACATCATAATATAGAACAAAAAAAAGTTGAACCAAGCTACACACAGTGTTTATAACGGAAGGGGGGAACTATTGTTTTTGAATTTTTACAATTTAACATTTCTTGAAATTTCCAGGGGAATAGTCCAAATAGCCCCCCCCCCCTTCATGTACAATGTACATACCCCTGAATCATCAATACATAATGTAATAAATACTCAATAATGTGATAAATAACTTACATCATTAAATCTTTCCGTCATTAAACAAATATTTGGGGCTTTTTCCTCCTTGTTTTTCTTCATCCAGGCCTGACCGAGGAACTCTCTGAAAAACGTGGCAAACTACAGTTAGACACATAAAACTGTAGAAGACGACTGTTGTACTCAAGTAACAGTATTTTAGTCCAAGGAACATGTAACACGGCAATTGTGCAATGCAGTACACACTACACAGACCATATTGACATACGCTGAACTCCAACCTTCGAGTGTGCGAGGTGGGGAAGACTTCACTGTAGATTTTACTTTTGTACATGACCACTTTTTTAACAATTTTCAATTAAATTAGTATTTATTTAGGGTTAGGTTATGTTAAGACACTTTCTGGGCCGAGCGCAGCGGCTAGGACAGACTAGGGGGCCGAGCGCTGCGGCCACAGGTTAGGTTAAGTTATGACACTTTCTGGGCCGAGCGCTGCGGCTAGGATTCAATCTCGATCTACAAATGTCATCCCCCCTTATTCATGATTTTAATTAAGCGCGGCAGTGAAGTCTTCCCCACCTCGCACACTCGAAGGTTGGAGTTCAGCGTCTGACGACCATATTCACTTAATAAGTTACATTTTTTAGGTACAGGATGGTAAATCTAATTAGAACAACATCAAATTAAATGTCGTTTTTTCAATCTAAATCTTTTTTCTGACTAATATTTTTTAAATTTTAAAGATGTACAGGGTGTCCCACGAAACATGAAAGTTAGTGAATAGTTTTATATGTCTTCTTCCATATACTGTATTAGATATTAAAGACTTTATGTAGTTTATTTTGTTTAAAAAATCTTGTACTCAAATATATTTTACTTTGAAATCAATTTTTCTGATAGATGACTCCCATACAATATTTTTTATTATTCTCTTTGGTATCAAACAACTTAACAAATTATGGAAGAAGACATTTTAAACCATTCACCAAATGTCATATTTCGTGGGACATCCTGTAGTTTAAAATATTTTAAAAAGATGTTTTCTGTGTAAACTCAATTACAAGAAAAATTGTCCAAATGGTTGAAGAAGGTTTAACCAAATCTTGTTAAAATTTGGAGGAAATATATCTTCTAAAATTTTGTAAACGCTAAACCAAAAATACAAAAACTTAAGAAATTGTTATTTTAACACAACTTTTTAATGAATCTAAATTACGTGGGAAAAATCTGTGAACAGTCAGAAAAAATCTTCCAAAAAAACTTTGATTAAAAACCTAAACGAACCCGCATGAGTCATATAGAAAAGTTTTAATTAGAAGATAATGTATTTTTCAACTTTTTGTTCAACATTATTTTATTAATATAAGAAAGAAGTCGAGTCTCAATGCCAGAAACTCAAATTTTCTAATCCCTATATGTTTGCAACCTAATGGTGTAAACCTTTTATAGTTCAAACTTATTTAAGGGGATTAGAAAACTAGAGTTTGTGACAAAGACTCATTTCTCTTAATCGAGAAATCTCCAGCGAGTCCAGCCTGAAAAGGCAAGGAAGAAACTTCAAAATTAGTTTATCAATATAAAGGAAATTTTACGAGAATTTTTAAAACAATTTAGTTATTTCTAATATTTTAAATTCAAATTGAAAAATCTAATGAAATTTAAAAAATGAAAACCCGGGAACAAATTAAAAAATTACGGTGCATTATATTGTCGTCACAACAATTTAAAAAATTTTAGAAGAAACATCAAAACTTACTCGCTTCCGATAGCAAAGAGTATCTTCTGGTCAAAATAGGTCATCTGCTCCGCTATCTCCAGAGCACTCAGAGAGCTTATATTATCCTTGCTCGGCCTCTAAAATACTGGAGGATTGGAGGAAACTTTATCTTTGCTACCTCATGGTGTAAACTATAATAACATTTTAAACTAAGAAGTTATTTGACTTAGTAACACATAATTCAAGATCTACTCATTAGGTTGTAAACATATAGGGCTAAGAAAAATAGATTTGAAAAGAATTTGGAAAATTATTCACCAACTAATGAGACAGCCTGTGGTCCGACATTTTCGACCTATTTAATTATTTTATATCCCTGGTAACAAAATTTTAAAGCTGAAAAGAGCTTTGTACAAGGATTAGATATGAAGCAGTAATTTGCAAAATCCTTATATATCCACGTCAGTTATTTTTCCGCAGGGGCGTATACAGTAATTTGTTCAGATGGGGGGGGGGGGGTCAGATTTACTTCAAATTTGGATTTTATACAAGAACACGGTTCCGGACAGATCTACTTCAAATTTGGATTGGAGAACTATAGAACAACAGACATTTTCTGGACTTGCTTTAAAGATTCTGAGTTTCTGAGATTCTGAGGCAACCCGCCTTTAGAAGGGTGAAATCTAGTCAAAGCTGGGTTCCCAAGGTACATTTTATAAATTCTGGAACAAGATCTTAATTGTATTATACTTTTTTCAGACAATTTACAAAATGAGAATTTATTGTAGATTAAATTGATCAAAAAGTTTTCTCCAGACTCATTATTGCTATTATTATTATCACCTTATGTTCTGCAGGGAGTAGAGTAGGAGTACACACAATATCCTCCAAGAATTCTATCGTTAAATTCTTCAACTGAAGGTTTCCTTCGAAATCCTGTGCATGCTTAGTGACCCAGTGGCGAAGTACAGAAAGTACCCGCATGGTGGCAGCACTGCTGGTAATTGACATCTTCCGTCGCGCTGCGGCTCGGAAGGAATCATCTCGTCCCTAAAACCACGGTTTTAACTTTTATTTGAATATAACATAACCGAGAATTGAAGGGAATAAATTGAAATAAAAAAGGTTGCAAGACAAGGTTAACTATCTTAAAGCAAGGATACTGAGCTGGGAACTTAAGAATGGGATACCATTAATACCGACTGCTTAATCTGAATATCCATTCCCAGCTCTGAATAGATTTTTATTGTTTATTTTAAGTTGCATAATTGTTAAGTAATTATTCTAACTCATGCTTAATTATTGTGCTTTAAAAATTATCATTATTATTATTATTTATTATTAATAGTGGGAACACAGATTTATTAAACTATACCTCTTCCATTTTATCGGCCAATCCCTTTAACCCTAAACAAGCTGAGGGGGGGGGGGGGGGGGCGTTTGGCGTTTGTCCTAGCACTCTAATTTTTGACAGTATCACCGTGAGATTTTTTGTTAAAATTTTTATTTTTTTATTTACAGGGTAGGGTACAGGGCGGAAAAAAGTCCGGTCTGTGAAAAAAAAATCTAAAATAGCCCATAACTTTTTTGTGAATAAAGCTACAGATCTAAAAATATATTTTTGAAAAGCCCTTAAAAAATGCATATAGAAACATGTGTAACACTTTGAGATTTGTTTCAAACAAATATAATATTTTTTTCATTTTTTGACCCTTTTTTAGACATTTTGTTAAACCCTCCTTAGCGCCCAAACTATTAAAGTTAAAGGTCACATTTTTTTCTATGAGCTGGCCTTAAATAATTTTGGCTATAAACATGCATTTAAACCCTATACCTATTCTCTAAGGCCTTTTTCTAGGGGGGGGGCGCCAAACACCCATCCCCAGCCTATATATAGATTCAGACCCCCAAGCCTCTATAGGGTTAATATCAAATGTGTGATACACACTAGTAAATGAAAAAGAAGAAATACTGTAGGGCTGGGCAAAGTTCTGTTAACAAAACAGAGGTTTTCGAAAATAAACGGAAGACCTGTTAACGAACGGCAAAAACCGTTAATTTTTAAATTTTTAAATAGTAAACGAAGCAGATTAGCTGTTGTTGAAAAAAATAAACGATCGAAAACGAAAACGAAACGGATTGTTTTTTTTAAACAGTGAATTTCTTTTAAATTGCATTACACTTGTACTAACGCCGTTAATACTTCAATAGACTGTTAACAACTATGCCGTTAACGATTTCATTAACCATTCATGCAATTTTTTTCGTAATTCTGTAATAACGGAACGGTTAACGACTGGAGCCATTAAGAGTTGTTAAAAATTGTCCGTTAACGCTGCTAAAAAAATTGTCTTCATTATCTACTAGTAACTTAAAAAGACGGAAAATACTGTTAACGAAACAAAGTTACGTTTTTACCCTCTTAAACTAACTATTTTAAAAACGGTTAGAACTGACCGTTAACGAAATGTTTTGAAAAAGTTGGAACGTGCCCAGCCCTAAGAAATAGACGATTTCGTATTTAAAGATATTTTAAAAAGCGCTGCACAAATAATCAATTTTGATTTTCTTTACATCAAAGTATAAAGAAGGAACAGGGAGGAGGTGAGGGGAGCTTAATTATCCTTTCTTTAACATTTCCACGTTTCCCCTTTCCGAAGCAGCAGGTTTGAAAGTGGGAAACATTTTATTTTGAAGATAAATTATTCTCTTGTACTGAAAAGCATTAATAAAGTGGCACTGAATACATCATTTTTCACCCCTAATCCATCAAGAGGGGGTGGGGGGGACTGGAGCTGTAAACCAAAAAATGCACGATACTATAGTTTAGGTATCAGGGGTTTTATTTGAATCAATTTCCTAAATATATCGAGGCTGTGCACGTTTTTTATTCAGAAATTTGACGTCACCATGAACACCATTTACATATTTATTTCTAAATAAAAAGGCATTTTTACCAGAATCCCGAATCATTAAATAACACACGAATTTAAAATAATCTTTGCGCAACGATTTATTTTCCCGACCTTTTAACCTTGAAATTATGTTTAACTACCTGTGGTAGATCCCTTGGGTTGCTAGAACCTGCGGTTGCAACAGCAAACGCAACAGCAGCATTGGCAGAACTAGACCTGAACATATCTTTTATAAATATGTATTATATATATGTAATACAGTGGTAATCTCTGAATGTCTTTATAGATGTTCGTGTAAAGGAACAATTTACATGTGACAAACATATCTTTGCAACTTGATGTCGTTGACCTTTAATATCTCAAACGATTAAAACAAAAAGATACATTATAAAAAGTTTGATATCATAGGTTTAAAAAATAAAGGGTTTAGAAAGTGAGTTTCTTATAATTGTTGGAGTTTAAAGTGTTAGACTCTATGAAATTTGATCAATGAGTTTAGCATAGGACAGGTATAAGATTAATCAAATAATCCCTACCCCTTGGGTCAGGGGGGAGGTTGGGGGGAGAGGGAATGCATAGAGAAAGTTAGTTTATTTCGTCTCAATGAACGTTATATTTAATGTTTATCCTTTTTCTCTTGAAATTCTGAACAAAATGTTTTGATTATATTTTTTAAATTTTCTATTGGATTTAAACTGTACAAATAGTTCTAGGTAGAGCTCTTCAAGAGGTTTAAGAGAGATTTATACAGAATTAAAGAGAATTATTCAAAGAAAAAATGATAAAATGACTAAAGAACGAATTAGCTCTTGGATTAAAAACATTTTGCTAACCTGGTCAAGGAAATCAAATGAAAGGCATGCAACCCTATAGTATGCATATACTAAACATGCACAAATATTAAATATGTACAAAAATTAAACATGCGAAATGTGTATGATTAAAAAAGCAAGCATACAAATACAGAACAAGCACAAGGGAATTATGTTTTTGAGCGTGAAAATATTAAGTCTGGAAATACAGTTTACAAAAAAAACCTGCAAATATAGAGTCAACAGGAATAATCATATAATGTTGAACAATAAAAGCCAATTTAGTTTTGTTTATTCTTCATTCTTCTCAAGCTCTATTTTCTAACCCGTATATCTCTGTAACCTAATAGACCTTTGATATTTTTATCTATTAAATTCTGAGATATTATCCTGAATTTTGGGAACATGTTTGGAAGATTTATGGTCACGACTTTCGAGAGAGGATTTTTTTATACATTTTGTTTATCATCACGCAGCATCATTACTTACAACTTTAAAATTGATTTCACGAGACAAAATGTTACTTTTTCACGTATCTTGGATTTCAGGCCTCTTGACGCGATACTGGGGACATGGCTCATGAGCTATAGTAGGTATAAACCCTAGGAATACATGACTCATGAGCTATAGTTGGTATAAACGCTTGGAATACATGGCTCATGAGCTAAAACTGGTATAAACGCTTGGGATTTGAAAATATTGAATTTAGATGTCACACAAACAAGAATAAGTATAAATCTCAAGGGAGTTACATAAACAAAAGCAGAATAAGAAATAATATGGGAAGGCCAGGTGAATACTTCATATTTTCTAGAAATACATTTCTCCCTCTTTAGATAACCACCCCCCCCCNTATATTTATATATTAGAAGACATATTTGTCAGTGATAATTTTGGTTCTATTCACGCACCTCTACCCCTTTAGTAAAAGTTAATTCAACCTATATGAAGCATAAATTCTGACCGCGTCAATCTTCTTGCACCAGCTAATCCTGCCCATAGAGATGGTACAGTACAAACTGGGACCGGAAAGGTTGACCCGGCTCGGAAATTCAAATGTACTAAGGCTGGCCGTGCCCCCATATCATCAAAAATCATCCCATCCCCCCCCCTGTAAAATATACACCCCTCTGTAATATGGCAAATATGAAAATAGTCTCATGATAAAGTATCTTTACCAAAACCTTATGTAATATATTTATGGCAGTTGATCATGCAATGTTTTGATAAACCGAATTTACTCTCAGAAGGACTCTGCAGGACTGACTACAGGGTGTCCCACGAAACATGACAGTTGGTAAATAGTTTAGAATGATTCTTCCAAAATCTTTTATAATTATATGGGAGTCATATTTTATAGTAAAATTAACTTCAAAGTAAAATATATTTGAGCAAAAGAATTTTTAAACGAAATAAACTACAAACAGCCTTTAATATCTAAAACAGTGTATGGAAGACGACATTCAAAACTATTTACCAACTGTCATGTTTCGTGGGACACCCTGTAGACAGGTGGAGAATGTCAAATTCCTATTGGTCGGAATTCTTACACAGCCTTCCTATTGGTCCAATTTTATCACGTAATCCTACTATATTACTACTATTACTGGTACGACTTTGTGACCTAGTTCTTTCTCTAATTTTGATTTTGATGAAAACGACAGAAATTCAAAATAGACATTCTTCTCAATCGCTCGATTCTATATGTAAAGCAGAAGAGGAAAAAAACCGTGCAAAGCAAATAAAGGTTTGAAATCTTGAATAAAAATGCATGCATAGGCCTGGAGTGGGAGGGGTAAATAATCCCGAGGTTNCGAACGCGGAACATCAATATTATGGAAAGGAATGGAGAGATTATAATTTATTTAATAGAAACTAAAGAAACTTTTCTTGAGATAATGCAAAGATTCATCTTTTGCCTCAAAAGGAGGAACCATGCATTCCTGTTATTTAGGAGTCCCTGCAGACTGGAACTGTAAATTTATTTCTTCATTTGACCTTGGGTAACCCTGTATGTAATATTTTTAAAATTTACACATTTTTTAAGTCAAACTTTTTTGTTTTACGCATTTGTTTAATTTGAAAACCTTGCTGGCGTCAAAATAACAACGTATAGTCATAGATCGGGTTTTAGAGCTGTTTATATTTTTCAAGTGACCCGCCGTTTAAAGGGAGTGACCGGCAATGTATGGTAGTTGACCTGAGAATGTAGTTTTGTGGAGAATTTATATAGATTTCATTCGAGACATATAAACGTCTCAATGGTGTATAATTACTGAGAATGTGCGCAAAGTCGATGTTCAAAATCATCCATTTTTGACCCGCCGTTTTAAGAGTTACAGCCTGCAAGCTCCATACACAAAAGTAAAAATGAAGAGAAATATTTCCTATACGCTGCAGAGCACTTTCAAAGAGAGCCCCCAATTGAAAATTATCAATTTTAATCTAGAAAAACAAGGAACCTCAAAGGTTTGAATCGCACATCTACAGTGATAACCAGAAAACTGTAGAATAGGAAGACGACATTAAAACAATACTGAAATGCATTTGATGTTGTTACAAAGCAAATGATTTATAACTAGTAAGTTATTGAACCACTTATTAGGTGAAATGGGTCTGTGTACACTGCACAAATACTGTGCGTCATGTCGACTTACTATTCCAGAGTTTTCTGGTTATCACTGTAATCTGCAAATGGAAGGTCACTGGAAAAATATTAACACTGACAGTCCTTTTCAAAAAGCTCGGGTTAAGAAATCTAAATACTTTTATCAGGAAACGTATACATGTAATATATTTAGCAGGAAACCGAATACCAAAAACATTATAAATACAAACCAATGTAATTTGTTAGAAAAACCTTAATAAAACCACAAAACCACGTTTCCATTATGAAAACACCAAAAAAGTCAAAAAATAAATCAAACAAAAATTTTAAAGAAAAATTCTAAAATTTTAAGGTTTTGAGGACATGGTAAAAATTAATTATTTTATTTTAAAAAGCAGGAAGCTGAAAATTGAGTTAAGTTGAAATTGGAAGTCAACATTCATTTTTTATTGTGCACATTATTTGAGAAGATAGTTTCCAAAAATACCATCCTCAAAAAATCTGATTTTGTGGTATTAAAACATAAATAGCGATTTTAAAAGCAATTATATAGTTGTTCTCACGTTTTGAAGCAATTAAATAAATGAAAAAAGTCTAATACTATTTATATAATATATATATATATATATAACTATTTATATAATATATATATATAATACTATTTATATAATTTATTGTTAAAATTGAAAAAAGCTTTAAAAGGAATAAAAGCCTTATTGTACAAGACATACTTGAGTAAATCAAGATCTAGAGAGCAATGTATTTCTGAGACCAAAAAAATGAACCTCATTAGAATATTTCTGATTGTAAAAGGCAACTAAATTTTAATTACTTTTTTAAAGAATGTTAGGTAGTGTACTTCCTCTAGTATGCATATACAGTTCAACCTGAGCTAAAAACTTTAGAATTGTGGAGATCAATGCTTGATCTTTTGGTTAATCCTAAGATTATTTTAATCTTTAGTTTGTTTTCAGTAAAATGTAAAAAAATTCTAAAAGGAGTTGAGTTTTTGCCACAAACTCTGATTTTCTGATCTCTATATCTTTGTAACCCAATGTTGTAGACCTTAGATATTTCAAACTATTAATACTTATAGATGAAATAATCTAAGTTTGAAATATCAAACATTTGCACCATCAAGTTGCAAAGATATTGGGATCAGAAGATTTGAGTTTGTGGCAAAAACTCAATTCCTTTCCAGCTCTGAACTTTATTATAGAGAGATAAATTATCCTTCAAGCAGGATAAACTGTACCATTAAAGAGAGATAAATTATCCTACAAGCAGGATAAACAGCACCATTATAGAGAGATAAATTATCCTACAAGCAGGATAAACAGCACCATTATAGAGAGATAAATTATCCTACAAGCAGGATTAACTGTACCATTATAGAGAGATAAATTATCCTTCAAGCAGGAAAAACAGCACCATTATAGAGAGATAAATTATCCTTGGCTGAGGGTTTGGTTTAGCTCCGTATATTACCAAGAACCAGAGGAAAGATCATCATCAGATAGTTCAGAGAGAAAATATTCAAGAGATACACCACAACCATCAGCTGTACCTTCACTATAATACAACCAGCGTCAGAACTATCTATCTAGTTACATACATACTCTATGGTGAGATTTATCTATTTCTTCTAACTCTGTGGTAACCATTTTCTAGTGCACAGCTTCATAATAGTTTTTAGCTTTTTAATTTTTTCATTTCAAATTAAAGCAGTAGCTTCAGGACTGCTACCAATAGCTTCATGACGGCTGCTTTAGTTTCAAATTCAACTTTTTCAATTATCAAAATTCAGGCAGTAATAGGAAGCAAGGCAGTCGACCTAGGGCTTTCAAACTTTGATACAAACTTGCATTAGTTTAGTGAAATACTTTGAGGAGCCTAATATTAACCTTTTAAAAGTTATTGCAAAAAAAACCCTATTTAAATATTATTATTTATGCGCACAAAGTCATTTTTATATCCGCACATACATCGGTTTTCATACTTCATTTTATTTGCCTATTTAGAAGGACATAACTGTTTTATCCACAAGTTTTTACAGCTTATCCGGATTATCTCGGTGTGAACTTTTGATTTTCTGAAGATAACAAGACCTTAGCTTCTGAAATTAAAATCTTAGCTTATTAGCTAAAAACTCGGAAAATTTTAATAAAAATCAAACTTCTTCTTCAATCGCACTTGCAAGTCATAAAAAGACAAAATATAAAAAAACTTACTTTATAAAATTTTTAGAAATATACATTTTGCGCAATATTGCTTCCATACTGCTAACAGGGGCGTACGAGGGGGGGGGCACCCATGGGGGGCTCTTTTAATATTACATCTGCTTGCATTTCCCTTCCTCAGGCAATCTACAATCTACTTTGCATTGGATTGCACTCACCCAAAATAAAAGATTAAGAAAAGAAATAAATAATATTCTGATTCACAACAATACCTTTCAAAGCTTTGTCTGATCAAATATTGCATTAAAAATCCATGTTTCTCATTTTGAAAACTGATTATTTTTATTTGTGGTTTCTCTACAAAAGTGACTACTTCAAATCTTGCTTAAAAACGATGGAAAAATGAAGGTTTCCAAGGTATATGCCACTCTATAAATGGAGGGTCACTTGAAATTACGCATGTATTCTATTTAAGAATTACATCGTATAATAAAAATACTTAAATATTTCACTTTTACTCTTAACTAAAAAAGTTTCATTTAATTAGCTTTGATCAATACTGTCTTTAGTGCATAATGTGGCCCCTCTACACAAATGCTCTCGTACGCCCCTGTCAGGACCATACATGACAACTCAGTTCCTGTCCAATTTGGAGATGTAGGTCATTGAATAAAGTAAACCTTAGTTCTAATTTAATTACGCATTTCAAATGTATTATTATGGAAATGCACTTTACTAAATATCTTAGACACTCTGTGGTCGCCATTTTTATCTATTTTAAACCATGTGGTCAGCATTATCTATCTATCGTAAACCATGAGATCACCATTATCTATCTATTGTGAACCCTGTGGCAAACATTATCCATCTTTTGTAAACCTTGTGAATTTGTGGCCAGTATTTTCCATCTATTGTAAACCTTCTGGCCAGTATTTTCTATATATCGTAAACCTTGTGGCCAGTATTTTCTATTTAGCGTAAACCCTTCGGCCAGTATTTTCTATCTATTGTAAACCTTGTGGCCAGTATTTTCTATCTATTGTAAACCTTGTGGCCAGTATTTTTTATCTATTATAAACCTTGTGGCCAGTATTTTCTATCTATCGTAAACCTTGTGGCTAGTATTTTTTATCTATTATAAACCTTGTGGCCAGTATTTTCTATCTATTGTAAACCTTGTGGCCAGTATTTTCTATTTAGCGTAAACCCTTCGGCCAGTATTTTTTATCTATTATAAACCTTGTGGCCAGTATTTTCTATCTATTGTAAACCTTGTGGCCAGTATTTTCTATCTATTGTAAACTCTGTGGTCAGCATTATCTATCTATTAAGAAAGGTAATAAAATATTTTATTTCGACTTACACTACTACACAAGAATCTCTATGAAGGATAAGATTCATTTAGTGTTATACTGTCCCTGTTAGCCTAACATATACTGTACTTAATGTGTACTGTATTGCTTGCTCTAAGAGCTAAAAAGTCGGCCCGGTGATTAAAATGGACAGCCTTCTGCAGTAACTATTTGTTGCTAAATAAAAATGAAATATAAGGTTGGTTGCAAGGAAATAGAAGAGAAGTAAATTTAGTATTTATAGGTTTCCCAGGAATATCATACTACAGACTACAGAGTAGTTAATTTATCACTTCCTTAGATTAAGAAATATCTTCTTAAAGAACAGTTCTCTATTTTTACTTGAACAGTTCTCTAATTTTACTAGAACAGTTCTCTAATTTTACTTAAACAGTTCTCTAATTTTACTTGAACAGTTCTCTAATTTTACTTGAACAGTTCTCTAATTTTACTAGAACAGTACTCTATTTTTACTAGAACAGTTCTCTCTAATTTTACTTGACCAGCTCTCTAATTTTACTTAAACAGTTCTTTTATTTTACTAGAGCAGTTCTCTAATTTTACTTGAAGAGTTTTCTAATTTTACTAGAACAGTTCTCTAATTTTACTTGACCAGTTCTCTAATTTTACTTGAACAGTTCTCTAATTTTACTAGAACAGTTCTCTAATTTTACTTGAACAGTTCTCTAATTTTACTTGAACAGTTCTCTAATTTTACTTGAACAGTTCTCTAATTTTACCAGAACAGTTCTCTAATTTTACTAGAACAGTTCTCTAATTTTACTAGAACAGTTCTCTAATTTTACTAGAACAGTTCTCTAATTTTACTAGACCAGTTCTCTAATTTTACTAGAACAATTCTGTAATTTTACTAGAACAGTTCTTTAATTTTATTTGAACAGTTCTCTAATTTTACTTGAACAGTTCTCTAATTTTACATAAACAGTTCTCCAATTTTACTAGATCAGTTCTCTAATTTTACTTGAACAGTTCTCTAATTTTACTAGAACAGTTCTCTTATTTTACTTGAACAGTTCACTAATTTTACTTAAACAGTTCTCTAATTTTACTTGAACAGTTCTCTAATTTTACTTGAACAGTTCTCTAATTTTACTTAAACAGTTCTTTTATTTTACAAGAGCAGTTCTCTAATTTTACTTAAACAGTTCTCTAATTTTACTTAAACAGTTCTCTAATTTTACTTGAACAGTTCTCTAATTTTACTTTAACAGTTCTCTTATTTTACTAGAGCAGTTCTCTAATTTTACTTAAACAGTTCTCTAATTTTACTTGAACAGTTCTCTAATTTTACTAGAACAGTTCTCTAATTTTACTTGAACAGTTCTCTAATTTTACTTGAACAGTTCTCTTATTTTACTAGAGCAGTTCTCTTATTTAACTAGAACAGTTCTCTAATTTTACTTGAACAGTTCTCTAATTTTACTTAAACAGTTCTCTTATTTTACTAGAGCAGTTCTCTAATTTTACTTGAACAGTTCTCTAATTTTACTAGAGCAGTTCTCTAATTTTACTAGAGCAGTTCTCTAATTTTACTTGAACAGTTTTCTAATTTTACTTGAACAGTTCTCTAATTTTACTTGAACAGTTTTCTAATTTAACTAGAACAGTTCTCTAATTTTACTTGAACAGTTTTCTAATTTTATTTGACCAGTTCTCTAATTTTACTTGAACAGTTCTCTAATTTTACTAGAACAGTTCTCTAATTTTACTAGTACAGCTCTCTAATCGTACTAGATCAGTTCTGTAATTTTACTAGAACAGTTCTCTAATTTTACTAGAACAATTCTCTTATTTTACTAGAACAGTTCTCTTATTTTACTAGAGCAGTTCTCTTATTTAACTAGAACAGTTCTCAAATTTTACTAGAGCAGTTCTCTTATTTTACTAGAACAGTTCTCTTATTTTACTAGAACAGTTCTCTAATTTTACTTGAACAGTTCTCTAATTTTAATAGAACAGTTCTCTTATTTTACTTGAACAGTTCTCTAATTTTACTTGAATAGTTCTCTAATTGATTAAAATTTTTTTTTAATATCCTTCCGATTGCGTATTTCCGGTCGGCAATGATCTGAGATAAAAATTAAAATTCTTAATTTTTTACTAGGATTAAAAAATTCCTTAAAGAATTGTTAATTAAACGTTATCCTGATAGGGGTATTATTTGGCACAATTTAAAGGGATAGTATCATGAAATTTAAGAGTCATTTCACAATAATTTTCTTGATTATTTTTGTAGAAATCCACAAATAATTTTTAAAATAAATTACACAAACTAAAAAACAGTCAACAGGGCGAACGAGGACTGTAATAAATAGGTTAAACTTTCAAAAATAGGTGGCTCTTTTTAACTTAAATGTGGCACTTTCTTATAGAGCATGATAAAGTTATTGAGAAAGTGTGATATACTTTTGAATAGGTTTTAAATAGAGCATGTTCACTTTTCTAAAAGAGTGTGAAACTTTTGAAATAGAGCACACTCTATAGACTAGTGTGACATTCCTTACCTAGAGTGTAACACTTTTAAAATAGAGCACACCCTATAGAATAGTGTGACATTCCTTACCTAGAGTGTTACACTTTTAAAATAGAGCACACCCTATAGAATAGTGTGACATTCCTTACTTAGAGTGTGACACTTTCAAAACAGAGCACACCCTATAGAATAGAGTGTGACACTCCTTAACTAGAGTGTAGTGATCTTTAAATATAGTGTGGCAATCTTTATATAGAGTGTGGCAACCTTTAATTAGTGTGCTAGTCTTTTAATAGATTGTTCCAACCTTTAAATAGAGTGTGGCAAACTTTAAATAGAATGTGGAAATCTTTAAATAGATTGTGATTATATTTAAATAGAGTTTGGCAATCTTTAAAGAGGGTGTGGCAATCTTTGAGTAGAGTGTGGCAATCTTTGAATAGAGTGTGACAATCTTCAAATAGAGTGTGGGAACATTTAAATTGTATGTGGCAATCTTTAAATAGGATGTGGCAATCTTTGAATATGATGTGGCAATCTTTAAAT